ATGGAAATTTACCAAGTTCAAGTACACGGGACAAATGACTAACAACGATTGACAAACAATTTACAAGAACGAAAACAAAACAACTTACTAGTACACTACACTACACTACACTACACTACACTACACTACACTACACTACACTACACTACATACACTACACTACACAATTATTTATAAGTTCAAAAACACAAAACATATGATTGACATTAATTTTCATTTGACATTAATCACGAAAAAACTCGTCAAGTACCACGGTAACACTACATAAGACAAAATTATATGGACTTCATATAGCATATGACACAGGCCATATATCTTTATAAGTCATAATAAAATGGTTAAAACATCAGATTTGCAACAGGCAAGTGATCATTGATGCTATCTGAGTAACAGTATTGTATTTAACCACAAGCTCAATTTATCTGCCAAATTCTTTTTTAATTGATAAGGTATAGATGCAGGTTAAACAAATGTTTTTTTAAAATATAAGGAACCGAGTCACGAGCATTTGAATAAAAGTCCCGGGCATTTGTTTACGCTGTTCTTTTATTAACAGTTCACTGTTGGCGGTATATGCAAATTAGTTGCTGGCCTCAGTACGTAGGTTGGTGTGTGACTTGACCTGTTCTGACTCCCTGGTTACTTACCACATGCGTAAGCAACTAGGCAAACTAAAAGCTACAGACAGGGCGTAGACGCTCCCAGCAAGCAACGCGGAGTGAAAAAAGCAAAACAAAACATACAGTTGCCATTGCCCTGACAACTTCTAGCCTGGCAGCTTTCAGTGACATACATACACTACGATCACCATAACATGGCCAGCTTGCGATGCAATGGGCATGTATCGGTATTTGGTTTTTAAAATCTCGGAAATATTATTCGATCTCATCTTGATTACCTCAACGGAAACCTCTTTGTCATCCAGCATGCATCGGTCGCGATGTCACAAAGTAAAACTGCGAATAGCCGTTGTGCAGCAAAATATTATTAAAATATTATGCAAAATACATTACTACACAAACCCTCAATAACAGATCGTCTGAATAACTTCGCTCGGCTTCTTCCCTGGGTGTCGCAAAAAACAGCGCGTCATGCAGTGTGTTTTTTTGTTAATGTTTTTAAGAAAGGTGAAATGGGACTCAGCTTCATACACTGTGACAAGCTACCCGCGTCGAAAGAAATGTGTCTATAGCTGTATGACTCATCGGCTTTTCGTTATCCATTATGCACCTCCCCTCAGTAGCGTTCATATAACCACGACATGAAAATGTTTTGCCCGTTTCCCTGAAATTGTGAATACTTTATTTATTTATTTTTATTTATGTATTTACTTACTTACGTGACGATTGAATGTCATGATGCGAGAACCATTTTTTTGATGATGAGCGTCACTTGGTTGTTATCTCCATTCATGTTTTCTGGTTTGTCAGTGAGATTGAAATTTGATTAGTTCCCACTCGTTTTGTCAGGTCTAAAAATATTCACACTATTTTGGACGTCTTTACGAGCAAAAGAGAGCCCGAGGTGAGAAATACTGATTGGGATGGAATACAATGAATTTGTAATATGCAAAAAAAAAAGAAACACGCAATCTCATTGCCTAGACGTCCATTTGTTAATAAACAACCGACGAACATGTTGTGAATGTTTCACATGAAATAAATAACAATTGCGTGACCTATTTATATTTTAACGCCCTAAGCCATAAAAAACACAAGTGGCGATAATGGATAATTTGCATAACCACTCAATCAGAAAAAAATGCAGATGTTTATACTTAAAATGGCTGATTTTCAAACCGTAAAGTACATAATATGGCGATTTTCAAAATAGTGTCTAGCTACGACTGGCAGAGTAACAATAAGCAAAACAAAATTTCATTCCGATTCCCACAAATTCATAGTT